AGCATTCTCGCTCTTCCACGAAGCTCTACCTCGATAAGGGGCCGAAAGCATGCCTTAGCGTTACGTTGGTAAGCGTTTTACCTTAGCGACCCGTAAAATACGAATAAGCCTACAGCAACACAGAAAGCGTATTCGATAGCTTTTTTAAAGCTCTTTCGCCAACTTCGCCTCAGATATGACTTCGGGTCTATGGCTTGTGTACCATAGAGTCCAAACAGCTAAACGGACGGATTTTGCCCAAACATTTGTTATGTAACAACATATGATTCAGTGAATGTGTATGATATTCATGTTATCACCATCGTTTTTGTTTCGTCGAAACACGTCGCATGGCTTACAATTTGAACTTGAATAGAAAACTTGACATCAGGTAAAGGTCATGACCTGACTAGAAAAGAACCTGCTGCATATGGATCGATCTGTGTTACTGAGCTGAACGGTGCTGTCATCGCTCTACAACGTCTCCATTAAAAGTTGTTGTCGAAAATGTGTTAGAGACCTTTGATGACCTAATCACTGACCTTTACAGTCACCACTGGTCATTAGCTGCACCTTGTCTCTAAAATGAACAAGGTGCCATGGCTACAAAAGTATCTAGCGTTTTTAGCATATTCTGTCAAAGCAGAAGGCATCGTGCTTTTTCCCATATCTTATCATGATTGGTGAGGTCACATACCTATTTGACCTGACTTCACTTCTCGGATGTAAAATCCCAGATCCATGAACTGTTGGCACTTATAATCCCATTCATTACACCAAATTTCAGGTTTATAGGAGTCAGGAGATAATCTATAGGAATGACAAGATTGCAGTTTTAAGAGGCATTAAAACTGAACTTGACATGACATTGTGACCTGACCTCAGGTGACCTGTGCTTGATTTTTATGCACGATGCAAAATTGATGTACAATAAGATATACCGCTGCTTTCGCGGCGCTGCGCGCCGAGGTTTTTCTCCGGGCACACGAAAAAACCGGGAGTGTGGCTAAAAACACCCCTACCCATCAAGACGAAGACCGGAAACCCGACCCCCCCACTCAAAAATCCGTGGCGACGCCCCTGCCTTTCCCCGTCTTCCTACAACCAAACGTTCGGAAGTTAGACGTGTGGTTGAGCTCAGTGATTGAGCATTCAGCATTGTGCATTGCAGCAATGCACAATGCACATGCCTAATGCATTAAAAAACTAAAATCATAGCTTTAAAAAGGCGAAACAAAAAGTTATCTATACATTTGCGCAAGCCAATTACAGCAAAATGCCACCGACTTTCTTTGATCCTGGTTACCTACTGGTTAAATCCGGTTTCTTCAACTGAAACTTTCAACAGCACACAGACTATTTACGACGAATGACATTTCTTGTTGCGGGTTTCAGTGTGGGTGTCACTGCTTTACCGCTGCTCCCATTATGCGCTCCTGGGCTCAAGCGGTCTCGTCTGGATTACCATATTCAGCACCACAGCCCGTGTAAATTACCGTCTGCGCTGCGAAACAAAATCGCCGGCGCCCTTTGCTACGAAAATGTAAATACATGCCACTCGGTGGTTTCTGCTGCAAGCATTATGGGAATTTCTCCTGATGTGCAATGCTAATCATCCATTGTCATGACTTTTTTATTTTCAAAAACAGGGATCGTTTACCTTGTTATACAAACACGTCGGTAGTGCTTTCCAATATATGCCGAGCGTCCAAGAGACAAATAACGAAGTTTTTAGCTTACACTGTAGTGAAAAGAAGCATGGCATTCTAGCGTTGTAAGCAATCAATGCTTATTCTGACTCGTTTTTGGTCATAATTATGTACTGTAGAAAACAGTGGGTACATAGTTAGTTATAACTATTGTAATAACTATAGTTATAGTTATTTCGGCATTCACTGGCTCTCTGCGGCAACGCTGTAGCCATGCGTAATGCTCAGCAATTCACAGCTGAGTCATTGGAATGCGTTGCTCTCATGTTGTACAGTTCTGTTACTGAGTTGTGTGTGGCAACAGGGCAGAGTCACTGAGCTGTACCTCGGAACTGGCATCTCCGGCATGTCCCTGACAATATCCTCTAGCTGCTGCCGATGTCTGGTAACTCAGCTCCTCGTTCAATCACCCGTAAACACAGTGCACACCTGTCCAGCTCCTTTCACGTCAGCCTCAGCAGCCTGCACGCATTGTGCTGTCTCGGTCAGTGAGGTCATCTCTGTGCGGACGGCCGCCCGGCTCCACCCTAGCGACGGGTCCGTCTGGATGTGACAGCCGACGACCGGCTCTGAGTCGGTCCACAGTCCCCAGTGCGGGGCTCCCGCGGGGCTGGACGGTGCCGTAAACATGTCATCAGAGGAGCGCCGGCCGCCGAGAGCGCCACTAATGGAAAGGCCGCCGCCACCGACGGTCGCCGACGGTAGCGACGGGAACGACGGGGAGTCGCAGTGGGCGATGGAGCCGTGATCGTCTCGTTCACAGCTCGGAGAGATCGTCGTGGATGGTGGGGGGAGGTCTCGGAGTAGACTGCGGTAGCCACTGTCGACTCTTGTCTCTTGTCGACTCTTGTCGACTCTTGACGCGATGTCGGTCCAACATCGCGTCGACGTTGGACGACGCGATGTCGGACCGCAACATTGTGTGTCATGGAATGCCTGATGAAGGATTGAGCAGTCGTGAAACGAATAGGTGGCGATTGGCATGTCCAAGTGGATAGTGGATAGCCCGCTACAATTTGCAAATATGCGGCTCTGGCGGAAATGCGCTTTCCACTTCAAAACACCTTATCTTTTGGTGGTTTCCTACAATGCGCACTAGTAGGAATGATACACATTTGCCGCCCAAGAAGCCGCCTTCGAAGTTGTGTTTTCTTTTTCCGATAAAACTTTTAATTCGTATGCTGTACCGTAAAAGTTTGGATCGAAAAATACGAATTTCATGCGGATGGCAATTGGCAGCAGCTATTTTGGAATGCACTTCAGCGGTTGGGTAAGGCATTATTAGAAGAGCAGTGCTTACAGAATGCATTTTAACGTTCTTCCGCCAGCCACCGTTTGCCTTTGCGAATTTATTCGTTGCGCCCAGTGCCCAATGCATCTACCATATTCTCATCACCAAGAAAGTGTTCGTAGTTTCTTTGTCATTATTCAGACTACTCCCTATAGTTGGGATTAGTCTCAAAATAGAGGAAAGTTCCAGCAAGGGATTTCTCGTCTTTAACTAAACTGTGAATAGGTAACTGCGAATGACTCCACGAATTCGACTTTTAGCAGACTCGCCAGCCGCTGCAGTTTCATCTTAGTCGAGGCTTCGCCGTAACGCTAGTTGAAAGCCGCCGGCCGGGCGGAAGCCTGGAGACCACACCGTCTGATATATTTCTGAGCCGTGACAGCTCGATGCTGGGCCTTACGTAAGGTCTGATGGCTGTCTGGTGAAAAAGCAGCGACAGAAGTCGTATGTCAGCGCCGATAAGGTTTTTATCTGTAAAACGGATATGCTGCTGGGAGACCGGTGCCACTCTTCGGTGCAGCTGCCGCGTCTCGTCTAACCGACACTATTGCTGAATCGTCGGAAAAGCGCAATCACCTGTCGGGAGTTATGATAAGACAGCTGAAGCTGTCTGATCTGATCGCCAGCATACTGCTGACATTGATTTGTTTGTACGGTAATAGGGCACGACCTGAAGCAGTCTGGTCGCTGAATTACTGTTCGTTCCACTGAGGAGAGTCGCGGCTGGCTGGTTTTCCGACAAGCTCTTAATCCGCCAGACTGGCCGGCCGGCAGCGCTGGGCTGCCTGTCTGGAAAAACCACGGCAGTCTCGTCTGCGGCCAGCGATTCGACGCCGTTCTAATGGCCGCCTCTGGCCGACACTGCGGCATCTCCGGCGGCGAAAATGTTTGTCGCTCCAGCCGCGCCGTCCGTTCATCAAAAAGGCGGCCGGACGGACGGAAAAGGATGAGCGCCACTTGTTGCCGAAAGCGGCGCGGCGTGCTAAAATGGCCGCAGTGGCTCGGTCCGGTGATTGGAAAGCAGCGCTGCTTTTCCGGTCTCTCGCCAGGCTGGTCCGAAACAGCGTCCGGCGCTGACAGCCCGGCCGACAGCTGCCGACAGCGAAATTCGAGGTCAGCGGCGTCAGGTGGCTCCGTCCAGTAAGCTGGTGCGATTCTGTTTTGTTTTGCTTTGCTTTGTGGGCTTCCGTCAAGATGACGGAGGTGGGTAGTGGTTGGCTGACGTTGAGAGCAGATGATGTTTCGAATCTTTTCTGAGAAATTACATTAATAAAACCAATAAAATGACATTACTTTCAGATAAGTGGCAATAAAGATAAAGTAGATAGTGACAAATCCCACCTCAAGCTGTGACAGCAAACGATTCTTCCACAATATAACGGTCACACTGACACACTGAAAAGTAGCAACCATTATGAGTCGGGAAATGTCGTTTCATAAACGTCTGCTTCTTCGTCTATGTATTTTCACTTCGACGTGGCGTCTTTTTGTATGACGCGGTCACTAACGGCGCTGTCGTTGTGTCTCCGGTCACTAGCAGAGCTGTCGTTCTGTCCCCGGTCACTAACAGCGCTCTATGTCGTCCTGTCTCCGGTCACTAACAGCGCTCTATGTCGTCCTGTTTCCGGTCACTAACAGCACTGACTGTGTTATGTACCCGGTCACTAACAGCGCTGTCGTTGTGTCTCCGGTCACTAACAGCGCTGTCGTTCTGTCCCCGGTCACTAGCAGAGCTGTCGTTCTGTCCCCGGTCACTAATAGCGCTGTCGTTGTGTCCCCGGTTACTAACAGCGCTGTCGTTGTGTCTCCGGTCACTAGCAGAGCTGTCGTTGTGTCTCCGGTCACTAACAGCGCTGTCGTTGTGTCTCCGGTCACTAACAGCGCTGTCGTTGTGTCTCCGGTCACTAACAGCGCTGTCGTTGTGTCTCCGGTCACTAACAGCGCTGTCGTTGTGTCTCCGGTCACTAACAGCGCTGTCGTTGTGTCTCCGGTCACTAACGACGCTGTCGTTCTGTTCCCAGGGGAGCACCCAGCGGCCATGCAGACGGGCGGGGTCGGCCAGGCCGCGGCACCCGTCCTCCTGCTTCTCTCCGCCATCATCAACCTCTACTCGGCCTGCTTCGCTGTGTAGTAGCTACTGCGCTCCGGCCGCTGTGACTTCATATTGCCTGTGGTGCAATATGTGGGGGACTCCACTACGGAAGCGCGTTCCGTGGTGCAATGTGTAGGGGATTCCACTACCAACGCGTGGTCCGTGGTGGATTGTGTGATGGAAACATTGTCGAACTTCAGAGGAAGTTTGGGCGCCCGATAAAGCGTAAACTGATCGGAGAGTGATGCGTTGCGCTCGGTGCATATTCCAACGAACCGATTTACGATGGAAGCTGCGCCGTAAGTCCGGTGAGAATATCGGTGTGCCGCGCAGTCCCTCGTCGTCGTAAGGTCGTGTGCCGACGATGGAATTCATTCAGGACAGCGACGAGTCTCGCTCGGCGTACCGCAATCATCCGCATCACTTCACGAGTGGTTGTGACGCGTGTGATGAGAAGGAACCACAGATCGTGGCCTCAACCGGCGCTAATCGCTCGCTGACCGTTCGCCACGGATTGTGAATATGTGACGTGTGGCTATGAGGTGGGAAAGGCACGTCTTGCTGCTCGGCGCTGGCCGTGAGACGTTCGTGACATTGTCAGCAATTTCTGTCAGTCTCATCCGGTGGCAAACCGTCAGGCATATGTCCGTGTCGTATATTCAATCAGCCCAATGAAACTCACAGCGGCCAGGAGCGCACACACGCATATAGCTGGCGTTGCGCGGTTCGCCGCGTTACGGTGTGCACTTTTGTCTGGTCCAGGATCTCGTACTGTGCAGGCTTTCATTGTGCGGGTGATGTGTGTGCTGCACTGTAGCGTACTCGTTTGTATGTACTCATGTGGGTGGGTGGGCGTTTGTGTGCGTGTCTGTTAAGGACCGGATGTTTGATGATGTGTTCATTTGGAGCGATGTGTGCTGTGACAGGCGTCCAAAGAATGTCTTAATGTGTCTGTATGTACATACTGGCGCAATCGGCGGAGAGACAATGCGCGCAGGGCTTTGATAGGATTAACAACATATCGCCGAGGTTATTAGAATCAAGGAATTGAGCGCTGCACTTACGAAGTGGGCATACTTTAGTATGGAGCACAAATGAAGTAACCGTTTTAGAAAGCTTAAACGTTATTGTTGGATGATTTGGTGCGAGTAACCTGAAATGCCAAAGCGACTCATCATTGATAGAACCGTATCACTTGAAGACCGCAAGTGGTATTATGTAAAGATCTAAATGTATTTGACATTCCAAGCTTGTTAATTGTTTTTGATAGCATTTTTGCGATGAAAACCAGATACTATCGAAGTCCGCGGAAATATTCGTTTACAATTAATGATAACAAAGCTGTAATGGCATTAAGGTACAAGTGTACAGTCATATTTGTTCAGATATATGTCCCATAAAATCGCCATTAACAGCTTGAAAACTGAACTAGAAAATAGATTCAAAGGCTTATACTTCACAGCTATTTGCTGCCCATAATCCATGCAATACCATCACCAATAACCGTGACTTGAAGCGTGATATAATTTATCAGGTATCCTGGGCCATCAATATTCCAGACTAGCGGAAAGCGGTCTTTGGCAAATGTTCAGGAAAGCTCGATGTTAAATGGCATTTCTGACACCTCCCATTGGTTCTGAACAGACGAAATTGCAAAAACGAATGCACACGGAACTGTTGTTTTGCCACCAGTGTGAATGCATACATTCGGTTACACACAATGCGATCGTATTTCGAAGAATAAAATGGAAGAGGTAGGTATTATGGTAAGTGCGAGTGATAGGCTCAGATGCTGGGACATGTGTCTCTGGAACCATGCAAGCCTTCGGTCTTCACTGTTTGCGGTATGTGTTCCAATGGGTGAGAGACTGCAGCCTTTGTTATTACCAAAAAGGAACTACTGTAATTCCATCAGTGAGTGGTGAATTGTTCAAGTAGTTATCTTACTTTGATAATTATCATTCATCAATCAAATCATGCGTTTAGTTGTTGGTTGTTAAATATGTTTTGTCTGTCTATTGCTTCAACGCAGCCATGTCACGCTTATGTAGCGCATGCAGAAGCATTTTCCAAGGTACTTACCTATTGTTCTCGTAAGTACTGCGGTACTATAATTGTGATATGTAAACTGATTTATTCTGATGCTCACATATGGCCTAAGTAGTTCCTAGGTAAAGTAGCATTGATTTGCTTGCGAGGTAGTTATTTACCTGAGGTTTATTTACGGTCGCATATCTATAATTAGTGTCGTTTCCGATGTAATACAGGCGTTTCTAGAAAACATTTCTTGAATGCCCTAAATTCATTGTTCCATCACTCGCCAGCCGTATGAGCTATTTCCTGGAAGTGCCGCATCGGGGCAAATTTGTCATGCCATCTGGATCGCGGGCGATATGGTTGTGCTTTGCATTGTTGTTGTTTTCAATGTGTCACTTGTCCGTCGCGGTCGTGCCTGAATGGGTATGTTTGTGCGTGTGTGTGACATTGTTTACGGTACAAATGTATGAAATGCGTGGTTCGACTTGTCACTCAACGGAACAAATAAAAGCAAAAGGTACGGAAAAGATACACCAGTGGCTGCATTATGTGCGAATGCGATCCCGTATGAGCAAGAGTCATCGCTCAAAGATAATCGCTGGGTTGAGGACGGATACTAGGCAACAGGACTGGTATTTTCAGTTCCCCGCTCCTATAACATCAGAAAACAAACCGTGTGAACGGATATGGCAAAAAGAATAGCTGTGCGGATGATTTCGTTACACCCTGTATCTAGTATGCCACTTGGCAGCGCCTAGGATCACATAACTCATGCGCCGTTTTAGGCTTCTGACAATCACCCATTGCCAGCAGATCTGATACTAGCCTCGCTCTCACGCTACGACACGCGGTAGCACCCGTTTGAGTTAGAATTAGCCTTCGACAGCCGGTCATTTGCTCTATCGCTCCCACCAGCCACGTCCGGCGCTGGATCTCCCCGGATAACGTATTCTTCACACCCTATATATCGGCTGTCTTCCCGGACTTCTCCCATTGGATGGACCGTCAGTGTTCCGGATACGACCGATTTAGGATTGGCACCATCCAAGAAACGACGGGATCAGTGCGAGAGGCTTACCATAGTGAGGTCGTGATGTCACTCACTGCAGCGGGCATCGCATTTTACTGGGACCTTTACAACTGAGGGATTGAAGAGGGTAAAATGAGTGTAAATGGGGGGGAGCAGAGAGAAGGGTGGAAGGGAGTGGGAGTTACTGCATCCGTCAACTCTTGTCGAGCTCTGACACATATGACACGCTGACACATCTGAGACGATGACACTTCTTCCAGTCTCCTTCTGCCTTAGCTGACCGCGAGTTCACAGTTATGTCGTACCAACTGAGAGCCTTGAGTGTCACGCCGACGTTCGGCTAAAACTGGGAAAAGCAGCAACTGACGCCATTCCCGAGGATTATGTTTCGGCGGGTGGCCAGAGCTGTCAAACTTCTCAGTTTCAGCTTGCTTTCCTCTCATATGACACTACCAGACAGCCTAGCGTCTGACCTGTTATTTTGCACGGTTCTGCAAATTACTTTTCAGAATGTTTTGGGCTTTCGCTCTGGCTCCATGAGTCATAGAAATCTGAAATTCAAAACTAAAGTATGAGACTCAGTTGCATTTAAAAATATTGATCCAGCAAAAATTGTTTTATCGTTTTGTTCAACCGCGATTTCAAACAAGCAGCATTTGATGTCCATTCCGACTACCATTCGCGTGCGAGTTAGAGGCGCTCCTTTCTTGATATGCAGGATTTCTATTATGCAGGTTCTGTGGATTACATTTTACGGTGGTCTGAATTTCATGTCGATCCATCGAACTGATACAATCGGCTGTCGGCTTAGACAGCTCCGAAAATGGTCCACAGTGGCAGCCATAGCCTGATCCCAGCTCAGACGGAGGCCTGGCTGGAAGACGTAGTTAAGTCCTTACCAATTGATGATACCTGCCTTCGTTCTGTCTGAGGGTATTGTGCAAATTAAACCCACACACACGTTCTTGTCACAAAATTATACTCAAGCGAAGGTATTCACAAAAATGGTCCAACATGCCAGGTCGATATCAGAATTGATACAAGTCGGTATCAATTTTTTTTTCAATTTTGTCCTGATATAAACGTAAAAGCATTATTGATCTAGATCTACCAAATTTCAACAGGTGGGTCCACCCATACCCTGTAAATTTCCGTTTCTATTGTGTCATAAGAGCCAATCGGCAGGAGTTGCCCGGGTGGTCGTAGCAGCTGCCTCCTCCCCCCCCCCCCCCACCCCCACCCGGCCGTCTGCGTTATCAAAAAGGCCTTGGCTAGGGTTAACAGCTGACGAGACGATGTCAGCACTTTCGAGATACAGCTTTGTTTAACCTATTTCGATGTGAACGAATTTGAAAATAAACATTGAAATTAAAGATAAACTTCAGGTACCAAGAGCAACTAGACTTCCGTGCATTCTTTCTCTTTGACTTACCAACAAAATTGAAATGACTGCCGTGGCGAGCCGTGATCAAAGATGCATGTCAGAACTTTGACAAGCAATCTATATTTACATTGCACTGTAGAACTTTCCCTAGTGTTTCAACAAGTGCATTCATCATCTCCATGGCTTTCAAGTAAATAAATATATTTTTTTTCAAAACAACTAGCAATGAGCCGATATTTTACAAATAAGTTTTCAGTCCTTAGATCCAGGACTTTGAGGACTTGGATTTGGACTTCAGTATGCATACTCCGTGCTCTTAAGTCTCAGGCACCAAAACATTTACGACTGGTTAGAACTGGCAGCAACCCGCGCCCCAGTGGCGGTCTCAGCCAACTTCGCCCTAGTGGGGGGGGGGGGGCATATGTTACCACCCACCTCTAACTCAAAAACTAAGAGGGATAGAAAGACGCGGTAAAAAGCAGTCGATAGCTCTCGATGCGTACGTTTGAAAGTATTTCAGTCATTTTTCATCTTAGAGCAATATGGGGGTCACCAAAGGTCATCAAAGGTCAGAATTTGCGAATTGTCATTATATTTTTCAGAAAACATGCCAATATCTCAGGAACTATGATAGCTAGAAAAACGCTAGAAAAAGCAATCGATAGCTTTTGAACTCTCCTTTTGATAAGGTCATTATCAAAAATGGCCTCAGGTCAACGGTTTAGCCTCCAGAGGGCAAAAACTCCAAAAATAGCTGTTTTAACGAACAGTATTTTTTAACAATAACTTTTGACTCAAAAAAGCTAGGACATTTATATTGCCAGAATCGTGTTGCTCTCGCCGAGACGCGTCGAATGAACTATAATTTGACCTTGAAAGGTCAACTTCAAAATTTGACCTCAGGTCAAGGTGACCGGAAAAGGTCATGTTGCATATCAGTCGATGCGTCTCGGCAAGACAAACACAATGACGCCAACCCCAGCGTTCTATCTTTTTCCAATCGAGAGTTATTGGCAAAAAAAAACTGTTTGTAGCCTCAAATGACCTCGGATGACCTTTCAAGAGGCTATCAGCAAAAAAGACACCTTGGTCGTCACTGGTGGTTCAAATCATTGTAATTCTGAAATATTTGGACTGTTCCTATGCGTACACACGGATCTAGAGGCATTTTCGTTTTTCTCCATTGACTTATAATGGAAAGGTCACGCCACTGACCTGACCTTAGGTCACGCATATAAAAAATCCGAGATATACAAATTGTAGGCACCCATGACATCATGCAATCCACCAAGTTTAAAACCCCTCTGACAAACACTGCAGGCTGGACATGATTGCAAACTTTTTTAGGCTTGGTCAGTTAACTTGACCTGGTGACCTGACCTGACATGACCTGGGGTAAAAAAAATTCACACATTGTCCAAAATTGATGTACCAAAAGCTACTCGAAGCGGCGCGGCGCTACGCGCCGCGGTTTTTTATTTACACGCAAAAAACGCGACAGGGTGGTAACATATGCCCCCCCCCCCCACTGGGGCGAAGGTTAGGTGACAAGATAAGCTTGATTTGTTTTGCCTTTATTGTTTCTATTGCTCTTAACCCTCGCCGGACCTATTGGTTTTCTACATACTCGCCGGCCGAGGGGGGGGGGGCGGGTACGACCCCCCCCCCCCCAATCGCCGTTTCGCCCCTGGTGGAGCTAGCGCGTCGCGGAAAAAACGAGCGTGTGCGCCGTTACGAGACGCAGAGATTGGTACCCGATTTTAAGGTCCTAGGTCAACCGGTGACCTCTGAGGTCAGGTCAAGTGCCCCAGGGCACGGTTCAGTTTTTGGTGAATAACTTCGCAAAAAAGGCCGCAGAGCCGCGATTTTGGCGGCATCGTGTTCGCCTCGCTCAGGCGCGTCGAATGATATACTTTTTGTTCGGGTCAGGTCAACTTGGGGTGTTGACCTCAGGTCAAGGTCAGGTCAGCACCCCCAGGTCACGAAGTTGGTCGAAAGAGGTCATGTCGCATATCATTCGATTCGGCAGGTCTTGCTGAGTCCATTGGTGGCTTTCCCGAGTCGCTAGCTCAATTTGATCAAGAGTTATTGACGAAAAACTAATATGACCTTGATGACGTCATAAATGACGTCACGCAAGGTCAACATCGCAAAAGTGACGCATCTAACCTTGCAAGGAGTGCATTAAATCACGATTCTGTGTGCTTGAGATAGTTGGAGATCGTTCCCGGCGCCAGAATAGCAGTTTTCATTTTTCCCCATTGACTTATAATGGTGAGGTCACGAAAATGACCTGACCTCATATGACCTTTAGGAAAAATCCGAGATATACAAGTTGTGAGACTCATATTGGACACTAGATTCTGCAAGTTTCATTTCCCTGTGACATCCCCTCTGGCAATGAGGGCGTTGCGAAGTTGCGACATCTGAAGACCGTGCAGAGGTTCACTTATGACGTCATAGGTCAGTGACCTGACCTGACCCAAAAATGCGGTTGGTGTCAAAAGATGCGGCTTGGATCAAAGGTCAGGTATGCCAAGTTGCAGCTCTCTATCGCCAGCGTGTTCGGAGCTATCGCGAAAAAACCCTATGGCCGGCGAGGGTTAAATGCTCAGAGCTTGTGTAATCATACATATTTTTACGGACATGGACGCACGCTCATCTATACACAAAAGTGAGACGCATCAATGGATGCAGGCTGTGTCAGACTATTCATGTAGCTCTCCATCCGCTCATCCATCCATTAATCCGATCATTCATTCGTGCATCGGTCCTCCCGGAGGTTAATCTACGCATACTGCATACCTACACGTTACATACGCTGATGGATGCGGGATGCGTATAAACATATGTGGCATAAGGTCTCTCATGCAAATCTTGACTCAAATGCACAGCTTAGCCTCACTCACGCTCCTACTCACTACTTACTCACTCACTCTCTCACTCGCTCACTCACTCACTCACTCACTCACTCACACTCCACTCCTCCCGGCTTCAACCCGTCCTTCCGCCCCTATCAGCCGCGGGCCTCATTATATTGCTCCAATGACAGCGACCGACCGTGTCCGGCCGACCGCCACGCGGCCATGGAGCTCCATTCGCTCCGACTCCGACTCC